AGTGGTTTGATTTAAGATAATTTAATAATAATATAATTAAAATTAGAATGTTGAATTATGATCAAGTTTTTGTATAAATAATTGTCAAACTTGATTTTTAAATTTGAAAGTTGGAAAACAGGGGTGTGTGTAATTTCCAGTTTAAATTTATATCTCCTGTTTTGGCACCATTTTATTCATAATACATTTTTATCTTTTTTCTTTTCAAAGACATATTCTTTAATAACCTAATATTACACGCAAAAATAAAAAAATTCCTTATTCTTAACTACACATTATTAAAAAAATCATTATTTTAAAATACATTCCTCCCCAAATTTGATTTTAATGGAGTACAAAAAGAAGCATATTATACATTTTGCATAGAAACACGGCTGAAACAAACGAAGAGGAAAAGAAAAAAAAATAAATTAGAAGACCAAAACTAATCATTATGTCGAAATTCACTTTACAATGTTGTATGAAGTATCTATTAAAGAATAATCACATATCTACTTCCAACAAGATTGATCTCTTCAAGATGAAATCCTAAATTTAATATGGTATTAGAGATCATAAAATTAAAAAAATCAGTTAGATCCAACGAAGACTTAAACAAGCACACATATTACAAAGTTAGCGTCATTAAATGAGTCACTATATTGCGGAGCTTATAGGTAATAAATCTCACAGATTAAATATAAAAATATTAACCAATGTATTAACTATGCATGAACATTATTATAATAAAACAATTGTCCAAAATAAAATTTAAAATAAGCTTATGAGTAAATCGACCATACTTATGCTAATCCACATAAAATATTATAACGTGACCGTTTGACAAAAATGGACTCACAAAAGGCAATTAGAAATGGAATACAAGAGAGATTAGAAGAGGGGGTTTGGAAAAGTTGAGATTCATAAAAGAAATAATATAGAAGATATGACAGTAACACGAAGTTCGGTGCGAGAGAGATCCATCTCCATGAAAAGGACTATGAAGAGAGAATGTACAGATGAAAACAAGTTAAAACTAGTGTTTTTTAAGTTTCATCCACCAACTTTACACAAATTCAATTTCATCCTTAATTTAAAATACGTATTCATTTCCATCATTAATCTCTCATTCAGTCTATATGTTAATTTCATAAAAAAGATAATTACTAAATATTTGGTTATTTATGTTTGATATATAATTGTTGAATATTCATGAAAATAAACAATTGAAATTCTCAATATACATTAATATCAAATAAATGATTAGCAAATAACTAATTAACTTCAAATTAATTGTGTGTATAATGTAGAATAAGAAGTCACATTAAAAGAATATGATATGTTCTTTTTTGCTATGTGATTAGGGTGAATTTAAAATATATCGATTTGATACAGTAATTTGCAGTTTAGTGTACTTTTATATATGATAATAATTGTTTGATCACCATTTAAATGATCAAAATATTCTTAAAAAAATTTAAATTGTTGTTTTGTATATGTAATTCTTTGTTGATAATTATGTTTTTAAAAACAATCGATACATAATATTATATTCTATTAAGTTTTTTTCATAATATATTTACATTTCAATACAAGAGTTGGAGATACTCAAAAATATTTACAACGTTAATTGTCGTATGTTATACCCGTGTTGTTTAGAAACCAAAGACCTATAAATATAGCTAACGCTTGCACTCAAGAATGAACCAAGCTAATCAAAGTTTAAAACTAGCTAGCAACATTTGTGCCCAACTTATATATTTGGTGAAACTTCCAAGAGATAAACAGAAGACTTCAGAAACATTGTGGAGAATTTGTTGCAATTATTGTAGAATAAAGAATCCCGTCAGCAATCATAAAATTTGGCTACCAAATTGCAACAATTCGTGGGTTGCTAAGAATTTAGTGGAAAATTCGAAGGCAAAATTGTCTAAGCATTGGGACCAAACGAAGAGTGACCGTTTCATTAATAATTAAATGAGAATTAATTTTTATGATAATAAAACTTACAATTTATACTTGAAGAAAATTTATTCAGTAGTTTATTTAGGCATCAGGTTAACATCTTGACATTAGTTCTTCCCATTCCCATTAAAGTTTAGCATGATATCTTCAACTAGAGATCTTTGATTGTGAAGAATAATTTATTTAGCACGGAATTTGAAATTTTCATCTCACCTAGATCGTCCAATGAAAAACGGAAGTCCAAAATATAACATTTTTACTTTTTATTTAATAAAATATAAGGGTAAATTTGTCTTTTAACAAAAAAAGGGGGTTTTATGATTTTAATTGCAGGATAGGTTCTTAACATTACTTTTCACATTCTTATCATTAAGTTTTCATTAATTAACATATTGATCCTAACGATGGTTTTCAACCATCGACTTTTCAACTAAGCATGTCATCAAATTTTATCAAAATCTGCTAAAATTTTGGTTTATCTCTAAACAAAATCTTTTGTCAATGTCAATATACCTTTGTAATTCTAACTCTATATTAATGGTCATTTACTTCCTGTTATTGCAAGACGGCATTTTTAATGTTTACCCCTTCAAACAAATAGATTGATATGAGAAACTTGACAGTATGTCTATCCCAAACAAAGGAATTGTAGGTCAAGAAAAAAGGAGCTTTCACCAATCAAAATTATAACATAAATAATTTATTAAACGAATATTCTTAGGTGTTCAACTTATAGTAGCAGATTCAAGTAAAGATGATATTTAATTTATAATATACATGCAGTATAGAAATAGAGTTGAGACCAACTGACAGGAAAAGGAAAAGAGAGAAAAGTAGAAAAATAGAAAGACCAATACTTCTCATTATTTTAAAATTCACTTTCTATACATGCTGAAAATAATTTGTGTTGTATGATGTATCAATTAAAAAATAATCTCATATCAATTAAATATCAAAATATTAATCAATGGATTTGGACTACATAACAGAGTTAATCATTTATGATAGAACTCCGAATTTTAATATGATATCTTATTAAACTTAAACAAGCACTTCGATCTAACTAAGACTTAAAAGAGTACAAAAATTTCAAAAGTTGGTGTTCTTACGAGTCACAATCTTGCGTGGACCTTTTAAGGAATATATATCATATCGATGAAAAACCGAATTATTAACCAGCATATAAGGGTTTGGATTACTCTTCTTAACAAGATCGATATTTTAATATTAAACACAAAATCTTAATATTAGTGTTGGAAAAATAATAGAGTGGTGACTTTAAAAACCAAAAGCAAACTTACCGACATTACCGAAAATAGGACTGAATAATGGCAAGGAAACAAGGAAAAAATTATTCCACAAAAATAATGCCAAATGAAATGGATGCAAAGTCGAGACAAGTGAACTCTTTGTCCTTAAGTTGATTTTGCCCCGCAACGGTGCTTACGGATGATGGCAATCAACTTCCAAGACAAATGACTATCCTCTTGTGTTAGTAGCACTCCAAAACACAAAATCAGCGGAAAAAAATCGGATTTTGTACTCTTTTTTATGATTGAATGAAGAAAAATCAAAATTATACAAAATTTAGGTAGAGAAAGAAGAGAGAATGGTATGCTATGATTGCATATCATTGGGATGAAAGAATAGATGTCCTAAGGGTCATATTTATAGAGGATGAAGGTTGTGAGTGAAGTGTTGCATATCAAACCTCGTAACCTTACGAAGGGAAGCTAAAGTTGCTGTTGTTGGCCTCTTGCTCGAACGCCAGTGTCAAAATATTAACGCAAACTTTTCCTCCGTCAGTCTCTAGCCTATCATTTGAGTGATAGCCCTGTTGCTCGAGCGATGGAGGGCAAAATTCAGGCCAGTTTTCCTCTATTTCATTCCAATTTTGGATCGTAACTTTTCAATCAACCGGAATTAATTATGAAATTTTAAATATGCTATAACGATCTATTTGATAGTAGAACAAGTTGGTCTATTTACATTTGTAATTTGACTATCGGATTAAATCCGAATATTTGGTTGAAGTGGACACGATAGCTACTTTTCCTATTTTTATACTTAACCAATTCCAACGGAGAGCACATAAGATATAGCACTCTTTTTCTTTTCTTTTTTCCTTTTACCTTCTAGCTCTCAACCCAATATTCTTTCAGTTTTTGCTCGTGTAAATTTCAAAGGGAGTGTTGTGACGAATAATCTTTAGGACAAAAACTTGTCAGACCTATTTTTTTGGCTCTTGTCCCACGTTTTTTATTGAAAGGATAACCTCTCATCACTCATTTTCTTGAGTCTCTCTGTCCTGTAGATCAGAACCCATTCATTCAATGCACTTGCAGATAAAGCCATAAAGCTGAAGAATCCAACTTTGAAATAGAAGGTTGATATTTCAGCAACTCATAAGTACAATAAACAAACAACTGGATTCCCTCTCTCTCTGTCTCTCTGTGTTGCTTCTTTAATCTTAACATTTACTTGTGCTGTTAAGACGTGGCAGTCTGTGTGTACTGATTTTATGTTTCCATCTTGCCCTTAGGCTTCATTTTAATGAGGTTTTACAAAAAAGTGTATTTTAAAATAGTGATTTTTTGGAGAATGTGTGGTTAATAAATGAAGAAAAGTTTTGAATTTAAGTCTAATATTATTTTATTGAAGGATGTGTAATTGAAAAGAAGAATGAAAAAAATACATTTAAATTAAAATAGAGCTCAAATAGGAGCTTCTTTTAGGTGCTTAAGAAGCTCCTCAAGTTGGGTGGGGTGGCGTGGGGGACTAGCTAGAGAAAGAAAACTAGCCAGAAAAGGGCATGAGAAAGTGAAGGCATGTTGTCAGTGATATAGGGAAGGCGTTTGAAGGGACCAGATGGTGACCTTTGATTAATTACCATTTTAATACTCTTCTCACCAAAATTTTTATTAATTATACTGTTTAGTCATACTCCGTAATATGTACTCTGGGGTACTATTACGCTAGCATTTATTAGTTTTGTACTAAGTTTAACCATGGAGTCTTACCTGGTCTTTCAAATTGTTCTATAAAATCCAGACTAAATTTCATACTCATTCTGTTGCACTCAAAAACCTGTTTTTGTGTAGGTACAAGATCCGCTATACTAGAGACAGGCTTTGGATTGATACTTGGCAGTTGGGAGAGGAAGAAGAAGAACATGGAATGGAATGGTAATCTTCGAGTGCCTATTGTTTCTCGACCGGATCATTCTTTCAGCTTCCTCTACAACTACAATTTCGATCAATTTCCAGGTAATAGAGGATTTTTCTTTGCTGATCGACAGCAGAATTTTAATTTATAGATGTTTTTTATGTGTTATTGCATGAATGATACTAGCTAGGCAAAGATTCTCCAAATCATTAAGGTTTAAGACTTTTAGTCGATATATTTTCGAACCATGTTTTGGTCGTTGTAAGAAATGGAAAAACCCTCATATTCATTGAAAAGAATGTAAGTATAAAGCTGAGAATTGCCAGACCAGAAAGCAGGGAGCTAAAGATCCTACTCCTAGCTTCTGAAAACCCCTTATTGAGCGACTCTTTTGTTTTGTTGTCTCTTTATCAGGTTTAGAGATGAACTCAATGCAGGCACAACACGAAGTGCTCCCAACAATGAACAAGATGAACAATTATGGGTGCAGCCAAGAGAAGAAGAAAAGATTGAGCAGTGAGCAGTTGGAGTCTTTGGAGAATAGTTTTCAAGAGGAGATTAAGCTGGACCCTGAGCGGAAAATGAAGCTGGCCGTGGAACTCGGGCTGCAGCCACGGCAAATTGCGGTCTGGTTCCAGAATAGGAGGGCTCGGTGGAAGGCGCAGCAGCTTGAACTCTTGTACGATGCGCTTAAGCAAGATTTTGATGATGTATCTAGGGAGAAGCAGAAGCTACTAGAAGAGGTTGGTGTTCTTGCATTTCTTTCTAGTCATATCGAGTTTCTTTTCATGCATGCAAATATTACATGGAACATTGAACTTGATCTTCAGATAATCGAATACTCGTTGTCAAGAACTTGCATTTTTTCAATAAAAAATAAAATTGCACCCTTTTTTCTTTTGATCGTTAAATAGAGACCGGAAAATATTTTGAAGAACTTAATTGTTTGTTTATTTGAACTGTAAGGTTATGACATTGAGGGCAATACTCAAGGAACAAGTAACAAAGAAGCAAGTCTGCAGAGGTTACAATGCAGAAGTTTCGGGGGAAGAGATGGTTGAAAGCACTTCGATTCCTACCTCGTCCGATAAGCCTAGAGGATCAAGCAGTACTCATCAGAACATCCCAGATCAGTCCAACTATGTTCTAAACGTGGATGACTATACTCCGATCATGCCTTCATATTGGAATGTTCTGCAGCCTTCTCGTCCTTGAATTTACTGCTATTTTCTATCTGCTTAATTTACTTTTAGAAGAGTACAATAACTTGTCGCGACTGGAGGGTTAACTCTAGAAGTTTACGTCGAAATATTTATCATTAACTAGGTTTTGTAGAGAGACTTCGAGGGATTTATAACGATCAAACTAGCTTCATTAGAAGCAGCTTATTGTTGTTGTTGTTGATTAGAACTTAATTTGAAGTCAAATGTGAACGTCGAGTTGTTGATCCGTGAGCTTGTTGATAATCTTATGTGTTGAATTTTGTGCTCATTATTTGTTCAATTCCTATTATTCGAGAATTTATTTGGAAAAAAAAAATGCCATTTCTCATGTCTAGGGTGTAAAAGATATTGCATCTCAAGTTTTTCATCTAAACACATTCTCTTGCACTGCAAGTTGATATTTAACCTTTCTTTCACAAAAAATAAATAAAAAAAATAAATAAAAATCTTTTTGATCTTTACGACATAATGGTGATCTTGAGCTAGATCCAATAGTTCGTAGATTTCGGGACCTAGTTTGATTCTTCACATGAACAAAAAATGGGAGCAAACACTTCTTTGTCTCCCCCTTTTCGGGAAATGGCTGCAATGAGTGAGGCCCTAGAAGCACATGCAGCATAAGCAGCAGTTCAGGAGATGATCCAAAAATGGACGCAGTCTACAAAGATAACTCTCAACCAAAAAAATAAAAATAAATAATAAACTAAAACTCATCACTATCATGAACTCATCACTAGTCAGCTATTGAGCAGAAGTAATAGGCCTTTGGACCC